AATATCACGATTAATACATCCTTATTAAACTTGAATAAATCGATATTACCTTCATAAACTAGACTAATTTCCTTTGGCATTTCACAGTGTTTTAGTTCAAAGTCTCCTTCACTAATTCTTTTCATGTTTGTTTTAAAACAGTCTGCATTAAATTCTTTGAAGTTGTTCATTTCAATAGCCTTTCTTTCTCAGAAACTTGCTTAAATACTAAGAGTATTTCGTTTTATTACTTTTGTCACAAGATGTGACTTTCCACGAATTTGACTTTTTATTAAGAGAATATTAATGTTTCTGTAAAAAAGTATAGAAAGGAACTGTTCTTTTTTTTTTAAAGAAAAAACAAACTTTATTTGATGGGGGAAGTAGCTCAATTATTGAGTGACCCTACAATAAAAGATATCACAAAAGAGTCAGTCATCTATGTCTCTTCTTCGAGAATTGGGTTCGGAATCAGCAACATTTGTGATAACAACCTCTCAACTTACTGGCAAAGCAATGGAGAACGACCTCACCAAATTACGTTTGTTTTTGATGAACCCCAAACAATTGCTGTTTGTTTTATATCTCAAAATACAATTTACATTAATAACAATTAGTTTGTAAGGTTTTATGTTTCTCAGAAGATGGATGAGTCATACACTCCATCAAAGGTACTGTTAAGAGTTGGAACTTCTCTTTATGATTTAATTGAATTTGCAGCGGTTACCTTAGAAGAGCCAGAGGGGTGGTATTATCTGACAAAACATACGAAAAAAGCACTAAGAGGAAGTTGTGTTCAATTGGTTATTCAAGAAAACTGTTCACACGGAAGAGACTCTCACATCCGTCAGGTTCAGGTATTCGGTTTTTAATGAAAAAAGTAAATAACAATGGTTCTGTCCTAAATATTTATTTTTTATAAAATCTTAAAATACTAATTTTAAGATGAATTTTTTTCGTTCTTAAAGAAAGAATTTGTGCACTGATTAACTTAATTATTTTCTATTTTTTAAAATGTTAATAAAAGTCAAGCAGCTCTGAAGCAGAAAAAACTTCAAAAAAATGTTAAGAAAAGAAGATTCTTTTTTTACAAAAACATGAAACAATCAAAAGAATAATCTTCTCCAAAACCCTTTTAGATAAAAAAAGAGATCTAGATGCCTATCAAGAAGACTATAAAAGGAGAACTCAGAAAAAAATTCAAAAGAAGAATAAAATGTCCAACGAAGTCACTAGTTTACAAGATTATTGGTATCCATCTACACTAGGAGAACAAAATCCAGTTTTAAGTAAATTAAAAGGAAGTGTAAAAAGACCATCTCTTAGTACCCAAATTATTCAACACCTCCCTAAAGTATTTCTACTTTTCTGTGTATATAGTTGGACTACTTTTGTTTTTTCATACTTTACTTCTTTTAATCCATTATTTACTTCAGACAATATTTATGGTATTATTTTAACTGTTATTTCATTAGTGGCTGGATTAGTTTATTTTGTTTTATCATTTGTAAATTACAAACCAGTTTATTTACTTGACTTTGCTGTAGCTGAATTACCAGAAGAATATGAAGTCCCAAATGAGCATATTCAAGGACCATTAACTCCAGTATTTGAAGAAAGTAGTGTTGAATTTGTTGAGCGTTTGGCTAAACGAACTGGACTTGGAAATCATACTTATTTTCCAAAAGTTTTTCATCAAGACAAAGTTATAAGACCAACCATGGAATTATCACGTGAAGAGGCATTATTAGTTATGACTAATTCTTGTGATAAATTATTTAATCAAACTGGAATAAAACCAGAAGAGATTGATTGTGTTATTTGTAATTGTTCATTATTCTGTTGTACACCATCTCTTGCTGCTATGTTAATGAATCATTATAAAATGAAATCAACTTGTAAAAATTATTCATTAGGTGGAATGGGTTGTTCTGCTGGACTTATTTCAATCGACTTAGCTAAGGATTTTCTTCGATGTCATCCAAATAGTAATGTTTTAGTTTTTTCAACTGAAAATATTACTCATTCTTTATATTATGGAAATGAAAGATCAAGACTTTTACCATACACTTTGTTTAGACTTGGAGGTGCAGCAATTCTCTTGACTAATAAATGGAATTTAAGAAGTCGTTCTAAATTTGAATTAACTCATTTGGTTAGAGTTAATCGTGCGTTCGATGATGAAAGTTATAATGTAGTTTTTCAATCAGAAGATGCTAGTGGAGAAAAAGGAATTTCTTTAGGAAAACAATTAGTTAATTGTGTTTCTAAGGCGTTAACTAAGAATTTATCAATTTTATTACCACAAGTTCTGACTTATAAGGAAATGGCAAAGTATGGAATTGATTATATTAAACGATTAACAAATAAGGAATACGCTAAAACAGCTAAAACATATATGCCAGATATTAGAGAAACATTCCAAGCATATTGTATTCATGCTGGAGGAAGAGGTGTTATTGATGGTATTCAAAAGAACTTTGGATTAAGCGATGAAGATTGTTTACCATCACGTTCTAGTTTATACAGGTTTGGAAATACATCTTCTTCATCTATTTGGTATGAACTAATGTATATTGAGCGTTGTAAAATGTTACAAAAAGGTGATAATGTCTTACAACTTGCATTTGGTTCTGGACTGAAAGTAAATTCTGCTGTATGGAAAAAAGTAAATTAAAAATAATTTAAAATTGTGTTATGTAAACTTTTTTGTTATTTTAATGCCTTTTTTTTAGTAATTTTATATCATGACTTTATTTTCTTTTATCATAAAAACATATTCCATTATTACTTCAGTCTTGATTAGATTTATTGATTTTTGTAATACATCGATTATGTTTGATATGTATTAAATGATTCAGTGTAAATGAATACTATTAAAATGATTATTATTTCTCATTAAATAATAACCATCTGTTACTTTATTGTTTGAGTATTATTTCATTAGACACCAACCTGAATTAAACGAGTTTATTTTGTTTCTAATAATTTTGTGTAATGAATAATTGATGATTTGATTGTTTAATACTTGTTAGTTAGTATAAATTGGTGTTAGTCATTTTTATTCTGTGTTTATCTTTAATTTCCTTTCTTAACACTTATTCATTTTACTCCTCTTCTATTAATTCTTTCAATAATTCATCAATTAACTCTTGAATTAATTACATTCACTGTTCTTATCTTTATTTCTCTTAACACTTATCATTCATTTGACTATTATTAAAATCATTCATAGTTATATTGTTTTACTTCAAAAAAACTGTTTTTGTGGTTCCATTAGAAAATAAAACAATGATGTGTGATGTTATGTGATAGAATTTAATCAAGTTTGTTGAATAAAAGAAGTATTTGAAATTGATTTTTGTTTGTGTTATTTTGAGTTAAAATTTTTTGTAATTTTAAAAAGTTGTATTAATAACAAAATACTAAATAACAAAAACAAAACCATTTGATTCATTAATGAAATAAACTTAAATTAGAATCAGAAAGATTAAAAAGCAGAATAAAATGAATAGAAATCTTGATTAAATCAAAATAGTTTCAAAAAGAAATGGCAAACGAATTACCAAAAGTTAAACCAATTGACCCTTATCTTACAACTATTATTGTTAAAATTGATCGGGACAATGTCGATTCAAAATTAATTACACCTGCTGCTAAAATTATTCAACAAGGTGGGTTGGTTTGTTTTCCAACAGAGACGGTCTACGGATTGGGTGCTGACGTTTTCCAACCAAATGCAATTAATCAAATTTTTAAAGTCAAAGGAAGACCAAATGATAATCCATTGATTTGTCATATTTCTGACATCGAGATGCTTAATAAATTAGCTGCACATGTGAGTGAAGACGCACATAAATTGATTAAAAGATTTTGGCCTGGTGCACTAACTATTATTTTCCCTAGAAATGAAACAGTACCAAATGAAGTCACTGCAGGGTTAAATACAGTTGGTGTTCGAATGCCATCTCATCCAATTGCATATGAATTCATTAAACAATGTAAAACACCTATTGCAGCACCTTCTGCCAATTTATCAACAAAACCATCACCGACTATAGGAAGACATTGCATAGATGATTTAAATGGAAGAATTGAAATGATTATTGATGGAGGGGCATGTGATATTGGTGTTGAATCTACAGTGTTATTGTTAGGGAATGAACACCCAACTATTCTAAGACCAGGAGGAGTTACACTTGAAATGTTACGTGAAGTTATTCCTTCTACTCAAGTATATAAAATGTCAACAAACTTGTCCTTAGAAGCAAAACCACCAACACCAGGCATGAAATATAGACATTACGCACCATCTGTTGATACAATTGTTATTACTGGAGATAAACGAAGTGAAAAACTAATTGAATTATGTCATGAATATATGAAAAGTGGGAAGAGAGTTGGTGTTGTTTGTTGGAGTTTAGAAAGTCTTAATTGTACTTTGTTTATGAAAGTTACAGGAGATAGATATAAAGGAATGGCACATGCATTATTTACTGATATGAGAGATTTAGATGGTAAAGTTGATATCATTTTAATTGAAGGGGTTCAAGAAATTAAAGAAGGGTTAGCAGTAATGAACAGAGCAAAGAAAGCAGCAGTAAAGGTGATTGAAGCTAATTGAAAGAGATGTTTATTAAATTTTTAAAAAAGAAATTTCAGAATAAAAAAAACTTGAAAATAGAGAAATAAGTAATTGAAAGGAATAATGCATTATTTTTTCATATATTTATTAACAATAACTATTAATGCACATCTTTTAGATATTGTTACACCGATTGATCCAATAGAATTAATGAAAGTTTATTATGCTGATGGATCAACTCAAATATTTAATGATGGAATTAATTTAACACCTGATCTTATTGACAAATCAGGAAGAATTACATCACTTAATGTTTATTCTTTTTTTAATGTTTTTAATTCATAAATAAATAATTATTTCAGTAGAAAATCAAATCAGATACTTTTGAAGTTCATTTTAATTTCAGCATCTTTTCATCAAAACCAATTATGGGAAATGGACTTGGAATTTGGTTTACTGATAGTCAAATATATAAAGGAGAAATAAATGGAGGACCAGAAACATGGAAAGGAATAAGTATTTTAATTAATACAAATGAGAACAATAAACAAAACAATCCATTAATTGTTGGTATTATTAATGATGGAACAAAAAGATATAAAATGGAAAATAATGGAATTAATATTGCACATGGATATTGTTCATTCAAAGAAATTTTTAATCAAAAAGACTTAACAACATTATTAATTTTCAAATATAATAAACAAAAATTAACTGTTCAAGTCTCACTTCAAAATAAACTAAATCATCAAGAATGTTTCACATTAAATGGAATTCTTCTTGAACCTCCATTTCTAAGTTTCAGTGGGAAAACAAGTAATGTTTCTGCATTAATTCGAATTAATCAAGTTAATATAATTGAAGGAGATAATTACACTAAACAAACTCAATTGAATCAATTAGAAAAGAAGAAAAAGAAAATGTCAAAAAAAATTATTAATGATAGTGATTTACTTCCAAAACAATATATTACAAATAACTTATTTGGTGAAGCTATTGAAGAAGACTCTAAAGTAGATGTTGCTTCAAAACAATTGTATGATCTTCTCTTAACACTTCAACAACGTGTTAATGAAATTGAAGAAATATCAAATGAAAATCTAATAAAATATAAGAAAATTAAATCACTTCTTTCTACTTTTATTCAACCAATTACTGACAAGTTTGTTTTTATTCTTTTTATCTTCTCTTTTTTATAATTAATATTCATTTCTTTTGAAACCACTTCTTTTATAATAACTCATTTGTAGAACAGAAACTTACGATGTAACAAAACTCTTAACTCAACTTCAAAACCTTAAAGAATATAATGATATTGTCATGCAAAAAGGAAATGAAGTTGTTGAAATTACACAAAGATTAGTTTTTAATTTAAATGATCCAGTGCCAATAGAAGAACAACACCATCCAATCTTTTGGTCAATTGTTATTCTAACACATCTTCTTATTTGTGGTTGTATGGGATTTCTTTATTTCCATCATCGTTCAAAAGTCAATTATAAAGCGTTGTAGTTTTGAATTGAATAGATTGTTAATGATTAGTGCTATTTCCAAAGTTTTTAGACAAAGAGTCAATGATGAGTTTCTTAGTTTGAGACATTCAAAGTAAGTAGAAAAGACTCAAACCCTAAAACTCAGCCCTTAAATTTTTACCAGTTATATAATAGAAAAAGGAAAACTTAAAAAAGAAAATCAAAGGATGGCTACAACTAATCCAAGTGGGTTAACTCAAGAAGAAATTGAAGCAAGAATTACTAAACTTCTTGGGGCTGTTGAAGAATGTGATACTATTAATGATCTTCGTGCTCTTTTTAAAGAGAAATCACATTTTGTTGCATATAATGGATTTGAACCATCAGGAAGAATTCATATTGCACAAGCTGTTATGACAGTTATAAATGCTAACAAAATTCATGAATGTGGAGGATTATATAAAATTTATATTGCTGATTGGTTTGCACAATTAAATCATAAGATGGGAGGTGATTTAAGTAAAATCCAAATTTTGGGAAAATATTTTATTGAAGTTTTTAAGGCATGTGGTATTCAAGAAGGAGCAGCAGAATTTGTTTGGGCATCTGATTTAATTCAAAATAGTAAAACTTATTGGCCACTTGTTCTTGACATTGCTACTAAAAACACAGTAAATAGAATTACTAGATGTTCCCAAATTATGGGAAGAGATGAAAAAGATGCATTAAGTACATCACAATTAATTTATCCATGTATGCAATGTGCTGATATCTTTGAATTAGGAGCTGATGTTTGTCAATTAGGATTAGACCAAAGAAAAGTTAACATGTTAGCTAGAGAATATGCACCAACAGTCAATAGAAAAGCACCAATTGTTTTATCTCATCATATGTTAATGGGATTAAAAGGACCAAAAGCTGGAAAAATGTCAAAATCTATTCCAGATTCAGCTATTTTCATGGATGATTCTTATGAAGAAATTAAACGTAAGATTTCAAAAGCATTCTGTACTGATGAAGTTGCCAACAACCCAATTTATGAATATTTGAGATACGTCATTGTTCCATATCTTCAAAAAGTTACTCTTTGTGGTAAAGAATACACTTTAGAAGACATTGTTCCTGGTTATCGTGAAAAAGATGAAGAAGGTAAAATTCTTATTGCCAAACCAAAGTTTATGGAAGAATTTAAAGCCATGGACAAGAAACAATTAAAAGAAGATGTTGCTCGTTTAATTAATGACATTGTTGAACCAGTTAGAAAACACTTTGAAACTGAAGAAGGAAAAAAATTATTAGCTACTGTTCAATCATTCAACAATGCTACTACTCGATAAATTTATTTAATTTTACTTCTTCTTTTTTTTTATTTCTTTATCCAAAAATTTGATTAAATTTATTGATTTTTATTTTCTTGTTTTTTAATAATTGATTCTCTTGATGATGACATTCTCTTCAATTAATATAAATATATAATGTTAATTCATGGCGATTTCAAGTTATTTATTTTCATTATAATTAAAATTAAATCATCCAATGTGATGATGATATTATCGTAATTCCTGTATCTTTCATTCTAAATTATGGTTTGATTTATTTTCATTTCTTTAACTTGAATGATGACAGAGTTAAGATATTCATTATCAATATCAGTAGTGTTATTTTTTATGATAATATTTTTTATTATTGGATTACACTCTACTTTCCCTTCTATGATTGAGTTCATTTCATTTTAATATAATCTTCTAGTTGTTTATTTTATTCTATGTGACTTTTTAATATTATTAATGTATTCTTTCTCATTATTTACATTAATATTTATTATTTTTATTATATTTTCTATTTGTTCATTTCTTAATTTCTTATTTAATTTATTATTTATCAAATTAATTCAAAACAATACAACACATCAATTAAAATTCTATTTGTTTGATTTATTGTGTTTTCTTCTCTTCTTGACTGATTATCATTTCTTGTTTTTTGATATTCAGTGTTTTGTTCTCTTCTTCTTCTATTTCTAGAATTATCTTTTTCATAGTTGTAGTTTTGTTCATTTGTATTGTCCCAGATGATGATATTCTCAGTATTTGTTGTGTATTTATCACTAGAGTCATTGTTTTCTTCTTCTCCAGTTCCTTCTGGGATAAAAAATTTTCGATACTTTCTTGTTGTTTTGATATTATTTGTTTTTGTTCTTCATTTTCTTTTTGTGTATGGTCTAATTCTTTTCTTGTTATTTCTGCAATCTCATAGTTTTCAATCTCACTTTTTTGATATTCATGATTTGTTTTTATTTATCTCTTGTGTTCTTCTCTAGCAGCTCACCACTCTTCTCCAGCTCAGTACCTTTAAGGAATTCGCCCTTCTCCTTCTTCAGCTTCTCACAGCTAGCTCGGAGCGTGAAGATGGTTTCATCCTTACCTCCTACTTCTATGTTCCTTACCATTTGCTTTATTTATTTTTCCTTGTAATGTCTTATTTTATTATTTTAATTTAACGTTTTCTTATTTCATTATATGTAGTTTGAATATTGTTTATTTGTGTTTGAATCTTTTTTATTTCTTCTTCAAACTCTTTCCTGACTGTTTCTCATGCTTTTTGAATCATTTCATTTGAAATGGTTTGTTCTTCTTCCATCTTTTTTGTTTGAAGTTCTTTAATAGTTTCTTCTATTTCTTTGATTTTATTTTGAAGTGTGTTAATTTCTTATTTGTTGCCTTCTTCTTCCTTTTTCTCTTCTTTATCTTGTGTTTTCCCTTTATTTTCTTTTTCATTTATTATTCTTGTAGTTTTACATCTATCATTCATTTCTTTAATTCGATTTTTGTTTTTGATTCATTTTTCATTTATTTTAATATCTTCACTTTTCCAATCTTTTGTTTTATATTTGAATTCTTCATTGTTTTTCTCTAGTGTTTTCTTCTTTCTTATTGAATATACTTCTTGGAGAATATTATACATTTTCTTTTCTTTACCTTCGTACTTTTTAAGTAATTCTTCGTATTCTCCTTTTTCCCATTTTCTTGTTATTCTTTTAATTTTCTTTTGAATTTCATTTATTGTTAATAATTTAGATTTATTAATTGTATAATGTTTATTATCATTATATTTACTTTCTTTCTTATTTGTTTTTATTTGTATTCTTCTTTTTCTATTCATTTTTCTCTTGTTATTTCTTTTATCATTATTATTATGCATTTTATTGTTATTGAAGTTCTTTCTTTTCTTTGAACTTGAATACCTGTTTGTTGTTTGATTTTCTTTACAAGACTCTATGGTCATACTCAATATCCATAGTATCAAAATATGATGTATATTCTGAATTGATAAAAGGATCACAATAAAAAGTAGTTAATTAATGTTAATAATTTCATTTTATATTGTTCAGTGGAGATTAATTAATCCATTTGCTTTAAAAGTGTTTATTCATCATCTATTAGTTCATTCTTTGATTTTAGTTGTTGAATTATGATAATTTCATTTTCTCATTTATTTAATGTGGAATAGAGTATTTTAAACATCAATTATTTAAATATTCGTTATTTAATTTCTATTTGATTTGATGGGTTTAAATTTCTTCTTTATTTTCTTATTTTAAAGAAAATATATATTTACTACTGTATTGCTTTAGGCTAATATTCTTTTTAGAATCAACCACTAAACCCTTTTTCTTTGATAATCTTATATTATCAAATATAATTGTATTCTAACAAGTAATAATAACATTTTATAAATACCCATTCTTTTATTATCAATGATATCACATCATTGTAATTAATAAACATTGTTATTCTTGTAGTATTGATTAAGATGTTTTTCAACTAAATACAATATTATAACCATTCCATAACTAGTAGATTTAAATGATGATAATATTTTAGGGTATTGTGTGGTATCTCTGACGTGATATCTTCGAATCCATAATTTTATTTAAAATAATAAAATAAATAACATTTAATTTAATTAATAAAATGAAATGACGTTTATTAAAATAATAAAATAATAAATAAAATGATTGTTATAAACGTGTATTTAAGTATTTAATCATCTGATTTTAATCTGATATTCATTAAATTAAAATGGAAGAGTTAATAAACAAGAACACTCAATTCTTTAAAGAAGAAATAGAAACACTTCCAAATATTCAACAATCAATTGTTGATATTAATAAATATTATAATTATTATTTAGGAAGTATTAAAAATGAAATATTTGAAATACAAGACAATGAAACATATTCAGAAGCTATTAAAAGAGGAGAAGGAATAATTGATAGGATTGATGAAACAGAAAGAAGAAGAAAACTAATAATAACAAAAAGTCAAGAAACAATAAATAAAATAGAAATAATTAAAAATAAAATGAACAAAATAATAGAAGAAAGTAATTCAGATTCTGAAATACTAAGTAAAACACGGAATGAAATAATCAATACAATTATTTCAATTGAAGAAATGAACATGAAAAATAAAATATTCAGAACACCCGAAGAAACAGATAAAA